ATGCTTAACATCGTGGAAAGATTGCTTTGATTCATATGAAGAGTTAAAAATGAGTCTAAGCAGAATTTTGAGCGCCGCTAAATATCCAAAATTCACATCGAAGACATGTTTCGATCTCAATAAGTGTTGCAGTCAAGCAGCAAAATATATCACACATTATTTTAAGTTTGATTTGCAAAGTAATATAACAGAAGCCGCCGGAAATGGTACGAGCGCCATTAGTAAAGAATAGCTGGAAAATTTGTTATCAAAGTTAATTGCAACTATGATCAAATAATGGAAACGAATGTTGTAAATGCTTGTGCACAAAGAGAATTAGAAGCAGTACCCGACAGATATCAATCAAAAATTACAGTTGTTGTCATCAAACCGAACAAATCACGATGCTCATATTGAATTATCACTGTTGAATACAGATGCTGCTGCTGTTCAATTTGCTTCTACACCAACCTTTCTGTTATCAAATAGAGCAAAATCATTGTTTGCTATACATTGGACGCCTTCATGCTGTAAATATCATTGGTCATTCCATCGGCTTGTATTGGTCATATGAAGAAATTCAACAGCTAGAAGAACTTCAGCATGACACGAAGATGCTGGAGGCAACGATGAAAGATTCATTTGAAAAGGTCCAATATGGTATGCAAAAATTGGAAAGGATAAAACAGTGTGGAAAGTATACCCGATTCCATGTTCGTCGTTCAAGAATGACATGGACAATTATATGAAAACATTGTGATACATTTTTTTAGGATATCATCTCTAAAAATAAAACTTTATTTGAGCCCTGACCCCGAAGACTACATGTTCAAGACAGTCTCTTCAGTATACCGATACTTTATTTGGGACTATCGACTTTATATACTTTGCAACCAGATACTACGAGTCTACTTCATTTATAATAGATGGATCTTTGAAGCTGAATTAGCGATTCATTATCTTGAAGATATGAATAGGAGTACGACTCTGGCTCAAGTGAAAACCAAAACCTACTTTCACATCCGGATATGATGTTTTTAAGATGGCAAAGCAAATTGGCTCAGAGAGTTACTTAAACGTTTCAGAAATGTATAACGTAATCAATAAAACGAAAAAAGAAAGCCTTTTAAAACAAAATATTTTTGTATTACATTAAATGGCTACGGACAATATTTGTTATATTATTCCTCAATAAACAAGATCCAAAAGTGTCTAAGAACTGAGAAATAGAAATTCTTAAGCTATCAAAGAACTATGAGCAGAGTGATCATAATTTTTTCTCTAGGAATCGGCAATGTAAGGCATTATTTGCAATAATCATTGCCATCATGCATTCAACTTTACACGTTTCTTTACAGATATTTATATGAGAGGGAAAAGTTTCGTGGATATCAAGTTTTGTTTTTATTCTAATGATCATGAAGCTGTAGGAGAATTGAGGTGGGTGTCCTATTTCCCAGTCCTTGGACAACCCGTATTAATTTAAAAGAAACATTTCTTTCTCTATATCAAACAATTTTTCTCTTTTTATATTTATTTTATAATAATAAAATTATTCAGGGATATGTACTTTGAAACTCTTATTTCAAAAGCGATTTTAAGGAAAAAAATAATCATTAAATGCATGAGTTTCAATTTTACGAAAAACAATCCAAAACATCATATGTTACAGTATAGATGATATCGATTAATATTCTTTCCTTATTTATATTCAAGGTGATTAACTCGCCGGGATAGCTCAGTTGGGAGAGCGTCAGACTGAAGATCTGAAGGTCCCTGGTTCGATCCCGGGTCACGGCATATCCTTTTTTGTAACTTTTTTTTTTCTAAATTACGAAATCATATGTTGTACTTTATTTGTTTTTCTTTTTTTAAATTAATTGCCTTAAGAAAGATTGACATAGCCAAATAGTTAAGAAACTATATGACGATTCGGAAAATGAGTATTGTTTCGCTTTTTTGTGTACAGTAGGACATGGATGTGGATGTGCAGCATGTGATCGGTATAGTAGAATAGAAAACTTGCATCCACACTCATATTCTGTCCAAGAAATGACAGAAAAATATTGTTGAACTACATATTCTATTGAACAAAATATAAATATAGTCAATTTTTTATTGTTTTTATATAGAATAATAATTTAAACATATCTCTATTATCAAGTAAACTGCAAAAGACAATTTGGGGTGTGAGTGTGGGTGTGGAGTGTTAGAAACAGAGCAACACCCGCACATAACTTTGCGTGACGATGGTACTCGTATCTATCTGCCGTGTCGCAAGTGTACTGTAGCTGTATCACTCTACATGGGTCACTAGATAACCATGGTGGAGATACTAATTATGCCGTGTTATAATTGACTAGGTGAGGGCAGCACAGCAACACCAATATGGCGATCATTTCTATGTAGCAGAAAGGTTGAAAAAAGAATAGTCCACACTATTTATTCAATTGCCACCACGTGCAACATGCACACAGTGAAAATGATGCATAGTATCATTTTTATATAAATTCTATACATTTCCCTTGTTCACGAGGCAAAAGCAAATTATCTGTCTCCTATTATTAATATAACTTTTTAGGGTGTGAGTATGGAGCGTCGGCATAGGTAAAGCAATGAGCTTCATCCACGGCTACATCTATCTACACCCACATCCACACCCGTCCTGCATACACTAACATCAATACCGATTCCTTTTTTCAAGTTACACTTTTATTAATGCAAAATGAATATAATTACAAATATCTTAATTTGTTTATTTTGAAGATCAATGTTTCAATAAGTTGATTATTATGTTAATGAGCATCTGAGATCAAGCTCGTGAAGAAGAATAAAATCAATAAATCATGAGTAATCAGAGTGATGCGTGTGCTTGACGCGTTTGTGACTATTTGATATATTCGATTGCTTATTTATGCTCTTACCAAGCCAAAAGTGTACAGAAGAGCTTCACACGAGCTCAAGATAAGAGCCGTAGTATATTCCTAAGCTCCACTCTATCTTATATGCAAACTCCATTTTCATTTGCGATAACCATTCAGTGACCCCGTTCGCAAAAGCCTGTGGGTTATGTCTTCGAAATGTGACACTTGACAAATGTTTGGTACGCTCCAAAATCATTATTGCATCATCCACATATGTAATATCAGTATGAAGACGTTTAATATGACGAGGTAATTTCAAACAGATTGCATTGAAAGTTATCAGCTTGATTCTTGCAGAACCATTGCAGCTTATTTGAATTTAGCGAAGATTGCGTGCTCGTTTGAATAGAGTTTTCATTTCTGCATCCAAAATAGCAGCAAGCTTACACTCACACTGGAAATCCAAACCCAATTTTTGAAGATTCGATAGATTAACAATTATTGAAAGATGTTTAATTGGGTGAAAGGAGCATTCTCTATTGATTACCAGAATAAGTTCTCTCACATTTCTAAATCAATACTCCGTTTTTGAATTAGTCAAGAATAAAAATTGTAATCTTATAGGAAACTAAGATACGAAATATAAAACTATTCTAAATCAAAAAAAACATCAAAACAGTACAGATCGTCTTTCTATTAGAACAGAAATTTTTTTTCAAAGAACTTTTAATTTGAACCAAACAAATTAGCTCAAGTAGATTCTACATTGACTTCGCAAATTTAAAAATTTGCTATGTTGAGTGTCTTTTTGTCTTCAGGAACAGCCGATGTAAAAGACATGACGTAGTCAAAAAAGCAAGTAACATTTTAAGAATGCTGTCGTACATTTGTCGTTTGATCAGAGTGAAACACGATGAAATTATATTAAAACTAATACTCAATGAGAACAGTGCTTAGTAGGTGTGGAAATAAATGTTCATGTGAATCGAACAGTTCATAGTTTTAATGCATAAAAGAAAGGTTTACAAATATTTTTCAAAGTTGCCACCAATGCTTTTAACGTAATTAAATTGCATTTTTTTTCTTTATCTAATTTCACGACACACAATGGTCTTGTTGGGTGTGGGTGGGTGTGGGTGTGGGTGTGGGTAGATGTGGGTGTGTGGGTGTGGGTGTGGGTGTGGGTGTGGGTGTGGGTGTGAATGTGGTTGTGACACAGGAGCAAAGAAATGAATCCACACACATCTAGACCCACACTCACACCCCAACATCCACTCCAGCCAGTGAAGTGACCAGAAGGTCAAGTAAACAACGAAGAAGGAACTCGACAGTAAAAGAAACTAAAATGATAAAAACTGTGCCAATCGTTTTCTTATTCTTATTGAAATCTTTCCACCATATAAAAAAGAAAAACAGCTTGTTAGCACAGCCTTTTTGAAACTGAAATGTGGAATTCACATATTTTCTTGATTGTCATTATACTAATCACAAAATACCTAATGTTTACATTCTCTAAAAGATGATCGCGCTTTTCTAACGATAATCGATCGTCAGCAAAAGCTATCTTTTTTATCTTTATACTTCGAACAGAATTTTTTTATTTTTATGTCGAAGTTGCTATGATCTGTAATGGAAAGGATGGAGGGGAGCTGCAATAGCTTGAACTTAAAACTTACACTCATGATTTTCTTCAAAAATATATATGAGTTCCACAAAATCAATACATACCATTTTCTAGAGATTTTCACGACACATTCTTTCGAAAAAATTGCAAGGCTATGTGACGAGACCCCCATGAAATATTAATAAAATACGAATAATTATGTAGTAAAATCGTTTATGGCCTACTCGTTACTCACACCTGTGCATAAGTAGCGAGCCATCTAACAGAAACGATATGCTTGATGTAAAGTATGTAGAATAGCATATAAAAAAAGCAAATTTCGTTATAATTATAAAGTGGCAGATGCAATTGCACAGTGAATACGCTGTAAACGCAAAAAAGATTTTATCGTGTTAACGATCGACACATGTATATTTTTTCGTTCTCTCTTATGTCAACGAAACGCTGAATTATTCTTCGTCACTGTTCTACATGATTGCATTTACATTAAAAGTGCATATACACAACGACTGAATAGAGAATCACATCTCATAATGGCGGTCAAACCCATGGACGCAGATGCTCTTCGTCTTCAATCACTTGGTTACAAACAAGAACTTGCACGGGGATTGACTCGCTTGACTAATTATGGCATGGCTCTCTCTGTTATCAGTGTGCCAGCAGGTGTATCATATCTCTTCGGCTACGGAATGATTACTGGTGGACCTATTGTAATGATATGGGGATGGCTCGTTGTCGGTATTTTCACACTTTGTGTCGGACTTAGCATGGCAGAGATTTGTTCAGCTTATCCAACATCAGGTGGTCTCTATTTTTGGGCAGGTATTCTCGTTCCAGAAAGGTACAAACCCATAGCTAGCTGGTTTACTGGATGGTTCAATCTCGCAGGACAATTTGCCGTCACTGCCGCTTTCGATTTTGGTTTGGCCATGCTTCTGGCCAGTGTCGTTTCAGTCGGTGTCTACTCTCAATGGTCACCTAAACCATTCCATCTTGTTCTGATCCATCTTGGATTAGTTATCAGTCACGGACTAGCTAATTCGGTTGGAGCACGATTTTTCGTTCGGATAGCACAAATATCAACTTGGTGGCAATTATTAGCACCAATTATTGTTGCTCTAGCTCTTCTAATCGGCAATAAAGAAGGTCATCTACCAGCCTCATCCATCTTTACTCTTTTCAATAATGAAACCGGATGGTCGAGCAAAGTAAATCTAATATGAAGTGTATTCGTTTGTGTAGAATTTCTCATACTCTGTGTAGGGCTACGTGATTTTGATCGGTCTTCTACAAGCGCAGGTATGCCTGTGTGGTTATGATGCATCTGCACATATGACTGAAGAGACAAAGAAAGCTGATGTCGCTGGTGCTTGGGGAATGGTCGCAGCTATCCTTGTTGCCACGACTGTCGGTTGGTTAGTTTTAATTGCTTTCTTGTTGGGCATACATGATTACCAAGCAACAGTGGCAACACCAACTGGATTTCCCGTAACACAAATTTTGCTGGATAACTTCGGTCGAGAACTGACGATTTTTTTCATGTCTCTTCTACTCGTAGCATGTTGGTTCGGCGGTCTTGCATCAGTAACAACCAATTCACGAATGATTTATGCCTTCAGTCGAGATCATGCTATGGTGAGTGCGAGTCTTCTCAGAAAATGATACAACATCAGAGATCGAAAATGAAAAATATCAAATACAGGTACTGCTATTGTAATCATTTGATTTCATTAAACTGAGATAGATCTGGGCAAGTGTGAGCTTTTTCAAGTACGAGCACCACAAAAAATATAGTCACATACGATAATTTCGTAGACGAGTACTTTGAAACATGAAGTCGAAGTTGTCACAGTGCAATAATCAAGTATATATGGATGTATTCTCACAAAAATCGAATAGGCAGAAGGAATTTAGTATTCCTTCCAGCTTTGTAAGCAAGAAATACCTGACTGATACCACTTTACTATGAAAGACATTTTATCTCAAACCAGAGTACATGATGCTTGAGAACGAGTGCGGCCAAAATCGCACTAGACTACTGTGCCCTACTCTGCGAGGAGATTAAAAAAAAATACATGAAAAGCCAAAGAAATAATTGCTACTCATTCTGATGCGTAAATATTGTATTGAAAAGCACAGTGAATCGAAATTTATACCAATTTTTCTCTCGTGTTTCTCTAGCCTGGCTCACGATGGTGGCATACAATTCATCCTCGTTTGGCATGTCCTCTCAATGGGGTATGGTTGTCATGTCTCATCGCTTTTCTTCTGTCACTTCCCTACTTGGGAAATTCAACAGCGTTCGTGGCGATTACGAGCCTTTGCACGATTTGTTTATACATATCATACGTGTTGCCGATCGTATGCAAACTCATCTTTCCGCATAATTTTGCTCCTGGTCCATTCTCCCTCGGTCGATTCTCGAAACCACTCAATGTGATTGCTTTACTCTGGGTTTCTCTCATTACTATACTCTTCGTTCTTCCCACTGTCCATCCAGTAACGGTACTGACAATGAACTACGCGTCTGTTGGTGTTGGAGCTGTATTCATTTTTTCTGGACTTGGTTATTTGCTCTCGGCAAGACATTGGTTTCATGGACCGGTGACTAATGTAGATCCGATCGAAAGAACGGAAAACTTGGATGATATTAACATCGTATATTTCTAGTTCAGCGTGTAGCTTAAAACTCAGATGCTTCGTTTCATAATATTTTTATGCAACAAAGATTCAGTAAATTTATGAGGTGGTAAACACCATTACGCATCAGTTGTACAAATTAGCCTAATATTTCTCATTTTAGAGAACGCCACGAGTTACGTATTCAGGAAAAGCTCTTTCAACACAGTCTCTACTAGATTGAAATATAATGCATGATCCATCCGCTTTAATCATCAACCAGATTCGTTGTCCCATACATCATGATCTCTGACAGAGTATCAAAGAGGTAGTCTTTGAAACTGTTAGTCGAGGTCTGTAATGACATAGATGTCTATGTGGTGAAGTGGGTGGAGTTGGTATCATTTTTTCTCTCTATATGATTCAGCACTCATTAACAATCGTGCTTCGCAAAATTGAACTCTCTTGATTTTCTGTTCAAGAGATGTGAACATTAAAAAGGACGAGGAACGTTTTTTATTGAATTCAGCTCAACAAGGAAACGAATGCTGTTTTATCTGAAAATTTCAACGATTATAGAGCTTATACTTTTAGGTCATTCCTCTCAAGGAACAGAGAGCGTTAAGAGCCAACCCACGTCAGCTACGATGGATTCCTGATGAAGCTGCTGAATCAAGGTCTTCAGATTCTGTTCAATTTAGGATATTGCTCTAGAGAGAATAGTTTTAAGGATTGCGATGCAAAATGTTTGAAAAAATAATGTTCCGTTCTCGAGATATTGACATTTTTCTATAGCTCTAAGAAATCCTCCAAACAGGAATTACTAGCTAGGATTCGAGACAAGATCCTTAAGATTCAGAATTCTGAAAGATTCTTTTAGGCTTTACCACGAAACGAATAGGATCGAGACTAGGGCTACACTAGAGGGTGTGGGTACGTGTATGTGTAAAGATGAAAGTACCACTTACACTCACACCCGCCCACAACCTTGTATAAATCAATTCTAAGATAGTAATAGCACATGTTGAATCTGTACTAGAGCGAAAAGTATCAACACGTGCTATTAGACGATATGGAAAAGAATATGGTATTAAATGCAAAAAAAATTCTCAGTTTAATCGTGTGACGTCATTAGTTTTTATATCTTTGTAATTGTTTTTTATTCTTTCTTGTTTGTTGATGTCGTGAGGAAAAAAAAAGAAATACATATTTAACAAGAGCAAGGAAAAAACCAATGATTAGAATGTGATTCATTCTTTTTCATTTGCTTTGTAATATACCTCATGAATTTTATTTTGCTTTTTCACTCTGTTTCATTCACATTACTGCAAGTAAAACAAAAAAATAAAAAAAAGAACCATGCATTTGGAATCATTGGCCAATGAATTACTACTCAATCTATTCGAATATCTTTCCACTGCTCATCTAATTCGTGCTTTCGACAGTCTCAATTCTCGTTTTAATACTCTTATCTGGGTTGTTTTTCGAACTTCTAATCGTGTTGACTGTCGATGGATGTCTCAAAGTCAACTTGACTTTATTTGTCAACAGCATCTTTCTTCGATTACTCATCGAATATTTTCTCTTTGTCTATCCAATGACGATGAAACTCCTCAACAGATCGAACGATTTTTTTCTCATGGTTTAAAACTTGACCAATTCATACATTTACGCTCACTTTCATTTTATCATTTACAATCTGAACAAATGATGCAAAATATTATGATTGCATGGTATCATCTTCATCATCTGACTCATCTTAAATTCAGCAAATGTTATTTTCAATATGAAGAGAAAGATATTCTCGGTATGATTAATAGCATTTGGAGTTTATCTGAACTTACTCATTGCTATCTGGATATTACTTTTCGAAGGACATCATCTTTTATTGTGCCAACAGTAATTTCATCATCTCTTGAATCTTGGATCATTCAAGGTGTCAATTGTCCGTTGAATGATCTAACACGTTTATTTCAACATACGATTCGACTTCGACATCTTTGCGCAAATATTAGGATCAATATTTACAATTCTTTGTTGGTATCACCTAGTTCATCAATGATTTCATTAAAATTAAAATTCTTTTCTTCGTCAAACTCAGTTCATGAAATTATTAATCTATTTCAAAATATGTGCAATTTACGTAAATTAACAATTGAAACATTAGATCTATATATCGATGGATATCAATGGATACAAATTATTGCCAATTATTTACCGAAACTTAAAATATTTCAACTCAAAATGGAATTCTATTTTCATGATCGTATTAACACGAAACAATATGTCGATCAATTGTTAAATTCATTTCAAACGTATTTTTGGCTCGAGGAACGTCAATGGTTTATTTGATGTCATTATCATCCGAAAAATGGTTCAAATAATGTTTGTCTCTACACCCTTCCTTATAGTTTTATTAGCTTTCCTCGTATAGAAGTTAGTGGATGTCGATCGACTTGTTCTGATGACTACAATACGAGTTGGTCATATGATCATGTACATATTCTTAATTATCGATCTTCATCAACAAGAGATTTGACTCTGTATCAATCTCGTTTTGTCAATAATCAACATCTTTCTCTTTCATTCAACGTCGATAATCAATTTTGGTTCATTGTCCCACGATTTGATTGTTTAATTTCACTCGAGATAGCATTGCATGATTATAGTGACAATATTAAATCTCAACTGCAAACTATACTCGACAGAGCACCACATCTTAATTTGTTGAAATTTCTCTCGTGGGCAAGTCTTGACGCACTTCTAGTTAAACTTAATAGTGCATCTGTGCGTCAACTCGATTTTCGAGGATGTGATCGATATTATAATGATCTTGAATGTTTGACATTGATCAATTCACCATTAGGTATTCAGTGTGAAGTACTTCGAATTAATGTCGAAAATCGAATGAGTATACTAGATTTCGTTACTAAAATGACTAATATTCGATCATTAAATGTTCGATGTGAAGGTGATAAATGGAATGAAACATTGTCGACATCAAAGGATGAATTCATCGACTGGTTACAATATCGTTTACCATCCACATGCATAATTACGCGACACACACGTTACACCTTTGATATTCTGTTGTGGATTTGTTAACAGAGAGTGAAGTCTCAAAAAAAAATTCGAATTTGCATAAATCGACAGAACTTATTTATCATATTTTTTTGAGGGAAATGCTTTCTCAAAATCCCACCTGGAGCCATACAATTCTCCACAAAATTACATGTCTTTTCTTAGATAATATCATTTTGGAGCGGTACTTTCCCTAGATTCTAGTCTCAGTAGCGTGTGGATGTGAGTGGGTTTGAGTGTGAGAGAAACATATTGAGTACAGAAACACCCACCCTCACGACTGATCAAAATCGTTTTTTTTAGTTCGCTATAGTTAAATATGCATTTTGTTGTTGAAATCATCTTTATCAGATTTCAATCCATTAGAAGATTAATTTTATTATATATTTATTGAAAATCAAACTGTTACACTTCTGAGTTCAATAACGTTTTTAATGACTTTTCATACTTTAATTTCGTTATTAAATATTTTCTTTATTTCAATTTAAACTGCATGAAAATAATATTGATTAAGAACAATATTGGCGAAAAGTAAAATGCATTGGAAACTCAATTAAGAGGTTTTAATATATTTTTCAAACATTGATGTGATCGAAAAGTTCAAAAATATCCAAAACAAAACTTCACGTACTGTAGCGCTCAAAATTGAACATATCAATCGGTATATTTTTTACATATCGATATGGTTTCATGTTGCAGGTATTGTCCTCACTCAAACACACACTCACATTGTATCATTACATAGAGCGTTCAAAAGCTTCTGGATTGATTTTACTATGCATTAGAAAGTATTGATCATAATTTTGTTTTCATGCAGATATCCACAATTTTGCTTTTTGTCTTAGCTGTCTTCACAACTATAGTTGTAAGATTTCGAGAGCCTGTCCCTCTTACGAGCCACACAGGTTACTTAATTTTCTCAAAAAAACTAGTCGATGAACATTTGAGGATCATTAAATAGTCAGCCGCTCACTCACTCCTATTATGTGTATCAATTATAGATTGTCTCACAGAGTGCACTTGATATGAAGTTTGCGGTTTGATTCGAGAAAAAACCTACCATGAAGCACCAAATAAGTACAAACTGCTATTCTTCAACTTTTAACTATACGTATTCATCAAAACATTATTTCAATTCCTTGCTAATATCACCAGAGAAAAGTATTATTTGAGATGTATGAAGAGTCGCGTTCAGTTGAGTCAATCGGTCGAGTCCTAGACTCGATTTCAGCCTATGATGCTTACTAATGTAGAATTTGTGCATTTATTTATCTATAGACATCATAAACTCTAGTGGATGAAATATATATATGAAGAAGTGGAAATACATTTTAGAGCACTCTCTATACACTGAGAATTGTTGAGAATAGCAATACATTAATTCTTTTTGTTGTTTTTAAATAAAATCAGTTCAGGAACTTGTTGAATGCCCTACGTAAATTACAAAACTATTTAAAAATTATCTGTAAACAATTATTTGAATATTATCAATTTTTTAATTAAAATAGTAGAATAATTGAAATTAGACTTTCAATTAAAACTGGAATAAATTCTTTTCTACTTCATCTTTTGATATTTCATGTTGTGTGACATATAAAAGAAACGCAGGTCTGCATACAACATTTGAAACAATGCTCTTACGTTAGTTTAAATATAGCATCGATTTGTAAAAACGTATTGTCAAAATTTTAATGGATGAGTAAAATAATTTTATGTTCATAATTTCACTAATGAATATATTTATTAGATATATAATATGATTCCATTGAATCAATGGAACAGATTTAGTATTTGATAAGTTTGAATAGTCCTTCTTTTGGCTTTCATAAGACAAATGATTAACAATCGAGTTTTATCAAATATAACAAACTATTGAAATAAAAAATTTATAGAATAGATTTTCTTAAAATTGTTTATTGATAGAATAAGTGATATAGATTTAAAAAAAGGATAAACTGATGGATACGAAATATATCTCAAAAGTAGAATATTATTACGACATTTAAAAAAGAAATCCTATGAAATAATCTGATTTATGTTGCATAATAACTTCAGGTGATACCAAAAGTTTATTAATAGAATCAGTTAATTGTTTACCAACACCAAAATCATCCAATGCAATATCTTTATCTTCAAAAAGAAGAATATTGGCTACTTTAATATCACGATGAATTTTCTTTTCTCAATTTAAACACTCAAAAGCTTTGAAAACTTGACGTGAAATAATTTCTATATATTTTTCATTAAAGGCACCAGCTTTCATAAGATCTAATATTTAACTACTACTGAGTCATTCCATAATAACCTATTATTTAATTCTCTTGTTATAAAGAAATAATAAAAGTAAATTAATTGAAGTTTTCGAAAAATTTAAAATTACTTTTAAATGAGAATCAAATTATTTAGTTACACAACGTCAATTACGTGAAGAAAGTAGTTGAATATCTTCAAATTCATCTTCAGATTTTTATTCCGAGTCTATTATTTTTGATTGTGATAATATTTGATAATTTTTCATCAATACGTCGACAGACTTTCTATATTATAACAAAAAGAAATAAAATAATAATAAAACAAAATGTTGAAAAACTTACTCTAAATGATTCCACACTGGTATGTTCAAGTCGTTGAAAAATTTCTTCAGAATCAACTTGACCCTAAATGAAAAATATTTTAGTAAATCCTAAGGATCTCCTCATACTTTTCATTGAGTTATTTTTGCAGCGACAATCATTGAACTCAAAAAAATGTTTTCATTAGATTTTCTTTTCAGTTTTTAATTTATGAGTGATTATTGAGAAAAATTCAAACAATAAACATTTTCTAACATTGAGATGAACGCAGTTATTTTTCTCTTTTCTTTTTTCTTTTTGTTATAGTGAATTTTATTAGTATAGATTGAGATATTGTTGAGAAATAAATGTATTCAAAGCAAATTTACTTTCGTTTATTCGTTCTTCATTTTTATGACTTAGCAAGAACTGTTATCTGACAATTATTACTATTGGTTGAATCTTTCAGCCAAGCAACCTTGTTAATTCGCGCTGTCATATATTTAGTTGTTTTTGTTTTTTTATTGATATCTTGAAAATTTATCTTTTATTAAATGAAGGAAGAATGAATCAGTAATTTGTCAAGATGGATAAATGACTCAAGTATTTCGCAATTCAAAGATTATAAATACAGAGCATTGAACGGATTTCGATATGTGTTTTCTGTCAAAAAGAAAGGTCGATCTGCCAGGTATAGAATACTTTACCTTGATCTTAACTCGTTTATAAGAAAATATTAGATATGAAAATCATTTGAAATAACATAACTAATTCTAATACTGAATTCGCGTTTTTCCTGTCTGAATTCGATCAGTGACTTGCGTTGAGTCTACGAAGGACTGTGTGACATGCAGAATTTTAGTGAGGCGCTCAAATCTAGTGAAACACTTACTCACAGTTACATTCACACCCAGAGATACACCTGAAGGAATTTCTTTTGCAAAACAAGCCAGGAACTGAATTCGGACAGGAGAAATATGGATCCGATGCTAACATTATCAACGATTTTAAATACATATATTCCTCTCCTTTGTATATAAATAAAAAAACTGATGCTTCTTCTTGTTCGTTTATGCGACATTCATCCGATTCATCATTCTAGTCGTACCCGTGAATATTTTGCCAATCTAACAAAATTTTATCTTTTTACAAAATCAAATTCGTCGATGGCATCAAATAATCGAACATGTTTTGTATTTGATAAAGATGATTCAACTAAAATTCTCATTCAAATTGTTTATGAAATTCCTTCAACAAATATTTCTCGTCAATTCAATTTATTACGTTCTGTGGATGAATCTGTTTCTCAAACAATTCATCGTTTAACAGCTAATATTGAACGTGCTATGATCAAAGAAAATAAATTAAATAAATGTCGTCGACAAGAACCGACTGAAGTAACATCAAATACTGAAAAAAAAATTATTGCTGTAGAATTATTTGATAATAATAATCAACTGATTGATGAAAATCAAACAAATAAACAAGCATGGATTAATTGTCGAAGATTATCAATTAATGGACAATCTTATAATGTTGAATACAATGCACCAGGTTATTCTTTTTTTTTTATAATCATAAGTAAAAATAATATTATTTTTGTTTAGCTGTGATTAAATTTCGTTTTCCTGAAAAAATTCTAACAAATACAATAACAACAGCATTTGTAGAAATTGATTATGGTCAATATGAATATTCATTATTTGATTGGTATGTTACAGATGATATAAAAACAGAAAATGAGCATACTCAATGGACACATGTACATCGTGGATCATTTTGTACATTTCATGATGAACATGTTAATAAATTTGTACGTCTTGTCTGTTTACCCCGAAACAATGCATTACGAGAAGGTACGCAAGCTGAAAATATATCAAAAACACGAATTATTCCATGTCCAATTGATTTACCAATGAATTTAAGACATGAATTAACAAAAGAATATTTACCTGTTGATTCAAATAGGTAAATTTTAACTATTTTATCTCATAAAAAGAATTTGTTTTTGTTGTTTTTCTTTCTTTTAGTCTTCGTTTAGTATCATATAACATATTAGCAAATGGATATGCATCATCAGCTGATGCTGCTGAAATAATCTATTCATATTGTCCGCAAGATTATCTTGAACATGATTATAGAAAAGCACTTCTTGTAAAAGAAATATTAGGATATCATGCTGATATTATTTCATTACAAGAATGTGATGCATCATTTTATCAACGAGAACTTTCATTAGTATTAAAACAGCATGGTTATTTAGGTGATATGAAAATAAAAAGTGATTCACTCAGAGAAGGTACAGCTATTTTTTATAGAACAGAACGATTTACGTAAGATTAATTTTGTTTTTTACTAATGTATATTGAAATCCATTTATATTTTTAGTGCTATTGGTAGTCATAATATTAAAATAGGTGAATATTTACGAGATTCAGAACATTTGGAATATATTCGTCGTCGTTGTTCATT